GCAACTTTTAAAAAAAAGGAAATCAAACGTTTTTTTGCCGAAATTGCTTACCTTTAACTTCCTCCAAACCACTGCATACCGTATTATTATGTTTAATTAATGGATTCCAATACTCCCCACTTTGTGGGAAAAGACCAAAGTCCCCACTTTGGGGGTTTGGCAGGAATGGATGCCTCAATTTGTGAATGACATATTTTTACTTTGCAATAGGCTGTCATTAAAAAAAAAAACTTTAAAACTAAGATAATAATAGGTATTCATTTAGAATGATAGATAGCTAGCTTTTTATCGTTTATATGATCATTGGATCTTTGACTTTTGTACCATTATTATGTAAAGAAACTGTGTCATTGACTTAACTGCATCTATTTCTGGTTTGTGTGTGCCGGGTCTGTGAAAAGAAGAAATTAATTCTTCCAATGACCTTCTGAAATACGTAACTCGATATAGCTCTATTTTTGAGTCTATTTTAATGTGGTTTTTTTTTGTTTTTTTGTATATGTTTGGCATATTTAATTCTTTCTTCTCTATATTTTTTGTCTGTCTGTCTAACTGTCTTTTCTTATTGTTTGGCGTCACTAGTTTAGTATTCCGCTTAAGGGTTTGCTTAATAATTTCATAATCTATTAGGAAAAATCAAACATCGACATACAATTTCGTATTAGCAAGCCCCTCGTTGTTACGTATTGTGCTCGAGGGAGAGAGTTCATGGAAGACGCCTTCTGGTTTACTGTCATTGAATAAGGGAAAACATACCTCATGGCGCGCGCCCTTTTTCGTAGATGTTACCCACTACATTATTATTCATACATTGAATGTCCTTCTATTTATTACTACCACTATAACTATAATACTACAAATCGTATAAACCATGCCGAATCGTTAAATGAAAGTTTCAAAATAGCATTTGTTTTTGAGTTGCAATAAATCAAATTTTTTAATGACGGAAAAATTATTGGAACAATCTGACAATATATTTAAATGAATATTCATTTGTTGTATTTTCGTGGTTTATTTTGTATCTTTCTTATATTATTGTTCACTTTTCCTCCTTTTTTTTATTTTTAAAAGAAACGTCTTCTCTTTTTTTTTTTAATTCTTTTTTTAAAGAAACCTCTAGGTATTTCTATCAACATATTCAACATTACGAGCTTTAAAACAACTACTTTTCTTCTACTCTTGAATAAAGATGTAGTTGTTGGTATTCTGATCCTTGCTGCTCGTGATTAACATTTGATGTAGCATGTTTTTGCGCTGTCTCAAAGGGATCATTTGTTGGTAGCCACATTTCGCCATTTTCCCTTAGTAGCGACTGATACTCGTGCTCTCTTGACAATGACTCTCCATTATTTATCTGTTGATAAAGATGCTGAGTCCCTGATAGAAAGTGCTGCTCTGCAGGGTTCTCTTTTGGTTTTCTTTCGTCCAATAAGGTTCGAGTGCATTCTCTCGATACTGCTCCAACATCAATATTCGGTGGTATCAGGTTTTGTGTTTCATGGAGTGTGTTCAATGCTGCTTCGTGTGTTTCCATTTCTATTCTATCCTGTACACATAAAGAATATTTTAAGAGAGAATACTTTTTATACTCGAGCAGTGAGAGCTAAAAACTATTTTCTTATCTTGAATACTAAGGGCTGTTGTACAAGGCTAAAATCTTGTTATTCAGAAAGTTGAACTTGTTTGTAAGTGGAGATGACCGATGAAAGTGGAATCAAAGTGTTAACCCAGAGCAAAACTTAAATTCGAAAATGAGGTTTAGGCCTTCATTTGCCTATTTACCATATACTTTCTCTAAAAAAGCCTGACAAAGCAACTTTCTAAAACAAATGCAACAAAACATCTTTGTACAATTGGAAAAAAAAACGCTTCAAACAGGCATCTTATCATAGTACATCAGTTTCTAACTGTTTAAAAAGGTTGAGTGTTAACCCAAAACGAAATTGAATCAAACCTCATACGAAAGTCTAGTTTTTGGCGCTTTAATTTTACCATTATTTCTCATTATTGAAAAAAAATTCTTCTTAAAACAAATTTTGTTTGTTGGTTTGTTGGATAAACCCAAACCATCTACTCTGTCACCATTACCACTTAGGCTGACAATCAATAAGTAAAGGATAAAGGAGTAGTCCATATTCAAATATATAGTACCACTTTACTTTTTTTCTCTGCCACGCCCTCCCCCTAAAAAACAAATTAATCAATTAAAAACACCGTTCAACAGTACGTATGGCTTTTTATCTCTTCATTTTTATTTTCTTATTACTGACATTTTATGGTATTAAGCTCACCATTTCAATAGCAAAAGATTCTGGTTTTGAAAACCTAAAAAGCAACAATATAATCGTTAAAAAGTTTATCAAAATTCAGTAGCCTATAGTCCTGAAAAATGGCGTGAACTATGGATTATTTGTTTTTGTATACGGAATGAGGATATGTAACGTATGGGTTAAACTGATTATATACAGTACAAATATATAAAATGTGAACTTGCCTTTGGTTGTCGCTCCTCTTCCTTAAAACTAGAATATATTTAAAACAATGATAATAAGTGAAAGATAGATCTACACACCCTGATGAAATGTTTTGACAGATATATCAAAGAAAAGAGAAAAATAGAAAAGTAAACCATAAATTATACCATTGAATAATTATCAATCGTTTGACATACTTCACGGATTCTGATTAATACTACGTGACTGCACTGTATGCTGGAATTAAAGTGTTTACCTTTGAAACCAGTCCTTTTGAAAATGTAGCACACTAATAGCGCCATGATAATATTCACACCTGTTGATATTGATGTTACTATAAAATGAACTGTTGCAAATGTACGACCTGATGAAAGCAGAAAAAATAATAATTGATTAAAGGTAAAGCACAGTATGTGCCTGCAGACTTGGGGTAGCGGTAAAGCAAAATAATAATAAAAACATGTCAATATATATAAATGAATTAATTAAAATATATGTAACCTTTATTTATAATTATATATGTAACATTCACATACATAACCTTGAATAAATAATGTCGAGCAAGCAGAGCTCTCTCCAGGCTTGGTTCTTGAGTCATGACCTTTGAATGATGATTATAGGAAGTCAAGTCAAATGTTAATAATTCAACTGAAGTAGTTAAGAAAGTGGCTCATCAGATGTTTATTGGTAA